AGTAAGAAGTGATATCTTATTTCTGTAATACTTATATCATACCTGAGTAAAATAATACATTCTTAGTTTTAATTGATTTCCTTAAGCCACGTGTTATCCATGGTTTTGATAATTGTTTACTTTTACGTTTCGATACTGGTTTCAAGGGCGCGTGCTTATTGATTAGTTTTTGTAATTTATTGTAGAATATTGAGAATGATTTATTAAGGTCATTCGTTCTTGAGATGGTTGTACTCAAATCTAGCTGAGAAAGTTCAGTATTGAATTTAACCTCAGAGAAATTTGAGTAATCTCGAGATAATTTTGTTTGGCTTTCACTATTATTAACACCTATGTCCGAACAAGTAATGCAAAACTGCGACTATGTTACCGCTTAGGATAGAGCTATCAACGTTATTTTCAACGTTATTTGAAAATATATTGTCAATAAGTGTGGCGGAGTCCTTATGCACTCGCGTTGGTTTGTCAATAGTCGGGGTCAAGTTGAAGCTTTGTAGAGAGAGAAGAAAATCTTGTGCGAAGTTACATGAACAACAACGGAGGAGGTTTATGTTGAAATCACCCATCACATAAATAGTTTTGCCAGAAGCCGACAATTTCTCGATAGTTTCTTCAAAATAAGCCTGAAAACGTTCCGGCGAATTGTGTTGCCTATAAATTACACCGCATATAATATTTGCATGTTTCGGTTGAATAATTTCAATCCAAAGCGCTTGAAAAGCCTCATTGGTGCATTTTTCAATTATTGTGTAATTTAGGGCATTATCTATATACATTCCAACTCCTCCAGCAGCTTGAGGCGTTGGAACGTATTCAAAATTATAGTTTTGTAAAGCGGGATTAAAATCACTTATCTCTGTTTGGTTAATCCTAGTTTCTGTGACACCAATTACACTAAAATTATAATGTAGTTCATCTAAGAGATGTGTTTGTAAGTTATCTAAAAATTTTTTTAGGCTTCTTACATTATTGTGAAATAAGGAAAACCTATTTTTTAACTGATCGAAGCTGTGAGGTGAATAATATTTGCAGCGCACTGGTTGTGGGTGTATTTCAGAATCATTGTTTAAACCAAACAGATCTAAATCATATATACTAGTTAAGCGGTCCAATTGTTTTTTTGTCGGTAGACGTCCATCTAAATTATTGCTAAACTGAGATATAAAGTTTACACCGTAAAACGGAATTTCTTGTAGTAGGCGTTTATTCATACGAGTTTTGTCCTTTAAGGTGGCAGTAGCCATATTTATTAGGCCTACTTTGGGGGCCAAGGTCGCCTAATGTCGCCTAATTTCGCCTAATGTTGCATAATCTCACACAAGCATGCCCAATTTTGCACTTTGAGTTTGTCGTCCATACTAGTCTATTCCTTATTTATTTGTTAGTTTCCTGCATGTTTTTTTTTTCATAAATACATATTGTACACAAACACCAAGGGCATGTGCTGTTAGGGCACCATCTCTCACCAGTATTAATGAGGCTTGGTTATTTGGTGTTTATATGTATATGAATTACAACACATTATTCCAATTAGAATTACCTAAATTATGTTGTTAAGGCAGGCTTCTGGCTATCTTCTCCAATGTGTTTCTTTGTGAAACTCAGTCAAATTAGTCATTATTGTCAATTACACGCCATTAAATGTTGTATATGAAATCAAACTTAGATCTTATTATCAAAGATACATTCATGATAACTGACGAGTGCTAAAGTACAGAATACCTCTCACTAGCCTAGTGAAGTACACTAATTATCCTAAAGGCCGAAACGGTACCGTCGTTTATATATATAGACTATAAATAAAGAAAGTCATCTTTAGTATGTTCAAAATACGACTTTGTAGTTTGTAAAATAAAATTACTTACTTTTCGACGAAGCTACGATGATCGACATCTCATAATTAGGTATCATCGCAAAAGATACAGAGCAATGAACGCACCGCAGAAAGATCTACGGTACAGGTTATTATAAAATGTCGCCAAGGCCCGCCATAATCAATTATTATGTTCCCTTACACGAAGTAGTACAAGATAGAAGCTAAACTATTAAATTAGACGTGCCGTGGTATTGCGGGCTCTAATCCCAGCCGAACAAGAACAGGTCTCTGAGGTTTTGGATAAAAAGAATTTAATTATTTATTAGTTCAGTTAAAGTAAAGGAACTGTCATCTAATTTTAGTAAAGTAAGTCAGTATAGTTATACAAATGTATATGGATTAAACTTTTTTCTATCTGTTTGCTTTGAAACTATAAGATTTTATATAGTTATCACTATTTGAGATATTTATTTGCCAGTTTGGTGGGTTAGATTTCAAGCATGGTCATGGTTGTACATGATTTACATGGCACACGTTTATGATAGCTAGCTAGCTGACAATTTATTTACCTTAAATGCCAATTCTTTCACTTCCATCACTGCATACCGCAGTCCATAAACAGGTTTTAAAACTCTATGAGGTATTTACACCAGTCAATTTAATAAGAAGTCAGAGTTCCATGATACTGTAAATGTACCATGTACTGGGCATGTATGCATGTATGTGTACTACGGTATAAACTTTGAGTAAATTGTCAGGCTAGCAGTTAGATAAATGTTCCTTGTTATTTTTGCTATTTGTAATAAACTAATTGTGTTCTTTGCCACAGGAACCAATTTTTGATAACTAATTATATTTTGATATTTACTGTTGTATTTTCTATGTAGATGCATAATTTGTGAATTATAATATTTGACGTTATCTGGATATTACTGTTCAGTTTTGTCCAATGTCGCCCAATGTCGCTCAATGTCGCCCAGTTTTGCCCAGCGACGCACACTACTTTTCTTTGAAAATTGCCAATGTCGCCTAATGTCGCACAATGTCGCACATAATAACGGCGACCTTGGCCCCCAAAGTAGGCCTTTTATTTGAATAGGGAGAGTATTAGTCATACAGTCACTAATCTCTATATTAAAATTAATTTGTTCCTGTTGGCAATCTTTCCAAATCACTTCGCTGTTTGATTCTAATCGGCTGGGAATCTTCATATCTTCGTAAATATATTACGGAATTTTTCGTCCAGCAGAATTTATAATCGTTTTCAATTTTGAATTTCTTAGCGTCTACTAAAAGCTGTTGTAATCTAGGGGTTAGATGATCAAATATACCTGCATCCATCAAGGACGAATCTTGACGTAGTCCAATACTAGCCGGGTCAATTCTCCGTACATCTCGTCTCTTTGCCATCACTTGTTCTCGTGCGAGGCGTCGTGCAAATTTGCAAATGATAGGTTTTGGTCGGCGGCTGTTTGGGTTTCTTGTCGCCACGCGGTGAGCAATGTCAATGTCCATTAGTGACACTTGAACGCCCATAGCTTTGAAAATTCTTTCACAAAGTACACTTGTCTCGGTAGCGGATTCGTTCGCTTTAATTTCAGGGATACCCTATATATTGTATTGATAGCTGTATTGCTGAACTTCATCGATAGAGTTAGAAAGACTGTCGAGCTTCACAGCTATCTCAGTTACGCGGGTTTCTAGGCGAGAGATCTGTTGCTTTACCGCTTGGGTGAATCGTTTCTGGTCATCATATTCTTTGCTAAGATATTCTAAGCTCTTAAGTGTTTCTTTATTTGAAGTCGAGCAAATATGGTCGCCCTTTGCTATATTAATTTCTTTGCTGTTAACAAGATCTTTTACCTTTTTTAGTTCTTCCATTATAGACTCGGTTTGAGCCTTTAAGTCGTCGTTCTCCTTTTTAAGAGATTTGATTGTGTCCTTTGACATCTTAGTCGAGATATTACTGTAAAGTGTTAAATATATCTAGTATATTTATTTATATGTATATGTACTTCAGGAGCTCGGATTTAGACGTCCGTACACAACGAGCGCCTTACAAAAAAAAAGAAATGTCAGTTTTACACCAGACACCAATATACAATTTTGCAGCTTCTGCTAAACATTTTGTTTCAATGTTTTTTAACCTATTGAGTATTTGAGTGTCAGTACTCTCCCCCTGATGAGTAAATAGTCTAGTGTTAGACAGTAAAATAATCTGGCATTAGGCAGAGTAAAATAATAGACAACTGGTTGATCATTTGAGCATAGATAACTGGTTGATCAGTATAAATCCTTGTAATGCATCACACATTGCGATAGTGTTGAATTTACTCCATTTCATTTTTTACAACAATGCTACCACTGGGCGCTTCTTCCATCATTCAGTGTGTATGAATGTCTGTCAGGGCAAACAGGATTTATTGGTAAATTAAAACAGTTACAATCAGTTGGCTGATGTAATTCTATTGGTGGAAGTACACTATCCAGCTCATCATCTCGACTATCCGGGTCACATGGTGGGATTGCTTGGGATGTTGGTGATGTTGAAATGTCAAACTCCCAACAACATAACATTGTTATATTCTTTGTTTATACCTCCTTCCCGTAGATCATTAGGGTCGAAGAACTACATAATATTATGAAATAAAAATACGTTTAATACTGCTGTATTTATACAACATAGGAGCATTTTTATATTTCTATTTTTATATAAAAATTATCTCACCTTAAAAACACAACTAGAGTGAATTTGTATCAGTGTAGGACTACCGCAATCAGCGACCAATTTCATCAATTTTTATCCCGTTAACCACAGCTGGACAAAGGACTATTCTTCGAACTATCCATAGAACTATAAACATGAACCTCACGACATTCAAGTTCATCACACGGTAATCCTTCCGAAATTAAGATTAAAGGCTGTTTTGACACACAGTGAACACACCTCAGAACACACAGAAGCTCGTGTTCAACCAAAAACGAAGCTTTCTTTCCATGCATAGTGCAAAAATTCACCATTTTACAATTTTTTTTCTATAAATCTATTCTGAATCTCTTGAAACTTCGAGGTGTAAACACAGCGAAAGCCGACCGAACAATGACGGCGCAGAGCGAGAAATCGATAATATGTAAAAAACCGCGCCTGACCGCGTTGCATGCCGGTATAGTCCTCACTCCTCTGGTTGACGCATAAGTGTCACGAAAGTTAGAATGCCTGGCTTGTTTAAAATGTTACTATATGGTATTAAAATTATTTTACAGTTTTTATGCAATAAATTTATTTCACTGTAACTTCCCATCGAAACGTCAAAGTTCTGTTTGTATTATTATTATTATAACTATAGAAGTAATAGCATTGGCATTAGGGTGATTAGTGATTAAATGTACTCGAAAGCGGAGGGCGGTTTAGTAAAAGCCTTACTAAATCTCTCAAGTTTTGAGGAGTTGAGGGACATTTCATCAATAATCGTTCCAATATGCTATGCTATTACTTTGTAATATCATAGCTACCGAGACAGTAAAATGGTTTCATTCGATTAAAGTGTACCTAAAAATAGAAAAAGAATATTTTGGGAAAATATAATGACAAAAAAACTGAATGTTGCATGGAAAGAAAGAAAATGGAACGAATTGCTTACCTATTTAATAACAACCAGGCATCAATAACTTAGAAACAAAGGTATTCAATCACAAATCATAATTTGTCAATCCTCGAACACATGTGAAATGTGCAGGTTCATTGACAATATACAAACATGCACTAAATGCATTTCCTCATTCCGTCAATCCTCGAACACATAAAATGTGCAGGTTCATTGACAATATCCACTAAATGCATTTATTCCGTCAATCCTCGAACACATGAAATGTGCAGGTTCATTGACAATATATACAAATATGCACTAAATGCACGTCTTCATTCCGTCAATCCTCGAACACATGTGAAATGTGCAGGTTCATTGACAATTCATTACTGATGCTTGAACAACACAAGCTTCGAAAACTGTTTACGTATTACCTTGTCATGCATTCTCGCATTTGTCAACTTGCTTAAATGGTGCATGCGAATGGTCACATAACTCTGAGAACAGCATTTAATCAAACTTAGCGTGTGGTTGTTCCCTGGAGCCGAATCAAACATGTGTTCATCTAACGTACTAAAGACTCGTCTTTCAACACAGACTGACAGCACCGTCGAAGCGATCGCATTTGAAAGTCCAGTGCTATGAGGTAGACCACCTCCATTTGCATTTAGCATTCTCATTATACACTTTTCCGTTTCCTCGCATATTTTGATCAATCCGAGGGACGGCAATCTAAGACCTCCATTCGTCTTCCATGTTACAAACAAGTCTGGAATGTTTTCCTTGTTTGTTGTCAAAGCTGCTATACATTGCGGACAGTGGATTTTTTTCTCGACCATTCTCACCACATACCCAGCAATATATGATATGGCCGCCTCTTTGTATTCAGATAGTTCCATAGCGTTCGAAACATCACAGTAGTCGTGATCATCTGCAGCTGGCGGTCTCAACGTCAAGTCATATCTCCTTGCAATTGCCACATCAGAAACTCCAGTAGGTAAGGAGTTGATTTCATGCTGATCCTGGATACTGTTCAATATCTCTGTATCATCTTGAGGAGTGCAGTTTCCACGTCCTCCCTCGATGTTGTGTCTCATCATCAGTTGCTTGTATGCTGCTATAAATTGGCGAGTTGTTGGATTATTATTCCACCCTCCGCAAGCTCGCACAGCGGAAAAGAATAATTCCAAGTGATCTTGGCTCATCTTGTACGTCAGAAGATACTTCAGGACAGGATTCTGAGCATTAACGAGATCTTCTGTTAATCCCACAACAGCATTGATGCACAACAGGAAACCAAGAAATCCTGTTTTCCTTTTTGACGCGAGGATCGACTGACCGTCTGAAGTTTTCAGGTTTCTAATGTACTCAGTTGCCTCATCTAAGAAAGCTCTTCGTATACTGGTAGTTCGATTTTCTAATGGGCGCTTTGAAATTTCTAGCCAGCGGATTCCTGGAATTCAAAACATCAAAAAGACGGTCAAAAACACGGATAAACTTTACTGTTGGACCACACCCTTGAAATTGTGGCAGTTTCAGCTTACCTTCACAATACTCTAAAGCATCTGCAACACTCGAACTGAGCGCCTGCGCTGCCAGGTTTACCTTCATTTTCTGTGGCTTCCATTTGATATGAGCCGATCGAAGCTTATTTGCAAGATGTAAACCTTCTGACTCTTGTAATTCCTGCAATTGCACCAAGAATTGCCAACGAATTACCTTACCGTCCTTATCCTTCAGAATTCCCCAGTCCGACATCGTATTTCTCACCAACTTTATCATATGACAAGCATCTAGGAGGATATAGATCTTAGCCTTGGGGTCACATGGATGTTGAAAGAAGGCTTGCAAACCATCCGGTGACAGTTGAGCGCCGAGCAATTTCAACATTGCCTGGTGAGACGTGGGGCCGTCGCATGTAAGAGATACCACCTTCACCCCAACTTCGTGCAACTTGGTTATGCATTCTTTGGTCAAGTTTGCTTTCTGCTCTCCGGTAAGACCATTTACTAGAAAATATCCACACGGTACTTTCCAACCAGAGTTCACTGCCACTGCCATGAAAACAAGAGCATCTGTTGCTTCAGGCAACGAGTCGTCATTGATGCCTATACCAAGGTCAACATAACCACGGAACTGCTTACCATCCCACTCGACATGCTTGCGTATAGACATCTCATCGAGCATCAGTGCGCAAACAACTTCTTGACGATTTTCTTTCGCAGCCAAAACTTTAACTTTCAACGCTGCCAGTGCGTTCTTTGTGAAACCTGGCTCACCATTCATAGAACTATACCATGATCGAATCACAGACACATGTGGAAGCCCTAAATCAAAACTTTTTCGAACATAGTTATACGCTTTCGTTGAATAGAATTTTAGAGTCATGGCGAATGATCTTAGCTCGGGTGGATACGCCCCAGGATTTTTCTTTACCTTTTGCGTAACTAACCTTTTCATGAGCTCCCTGGAAACTCCAGAAAAAGTCGTTTCTAAAATAGTTGCGCAATCATTATTGATAAGATTTTGCTCTTTCAATTCACTTACCACCGTGGTCAAAGTGCTAACCTTTCCTCTGTACCTCCTTAGTTTCTTTTGTGACGATTCCAATCTCTTCTTAAGAATTGTAGCGTTATCTACAACATCATCAAGACGTCTTTTCATTCTACGAGGAGATTTTATGCAGTACGTGTGATCTGCACGCACAGCTTTATCACAAGAACTAGTCGTACGTGCTCTTTTCTGAGACAAGCTTACCTCATTTGAAACGCAGTTTGAATCAAACACTATCTCGTCGGAGTGCTTTCTCTTTCTGCCTGGTATACTTACATTGTCTTCACTAATTACTTCTTCCGACACTTCTTGTATTATTATTATTATTATATTTATATTTATCCAGGATACCCACGTCACCGAAGTGTTTTTCAGCGGGGTCCTGCATTATAAATTTCAACTTCAATATATACATATACATTACAAAATAACATGCAAATCTACAATAACATGCGTTAACATACTTATACTACATATATATATATATATATATACAAAACGTAATGGAACTAAGACTATGTTTACTATGTAATTCTCGCCTACACAGCGTTTTTTAATAGAGTTTTAAACTTGTATAACGAGTTAGCGTTTCTAATGTGTGGTTCTAGGTTGTTAAAGTCTTTTGATGCTTGGTAGCTTGGTCTTTGTTTTCCCTTGTTTGTGTTCGTCTTTGGGAGGTGGAGGTCGTTTTTTCTTCTTGTGTAATAGCTGTGAATGTCTTCGTTCTTCGTTAATTCAAATTTAAAGTCGATTAAATCATTTAAACATTTATAAATAAATATACATCTATGGTTATGTCTTCTAGTTTTAAGTGTTGTCCATTTTAGTCGTCGTAGTGCTTCCGTTGCAGAATAGCGTGGATGTTCATCTAAGATCAGCTTTGCAGTTTTGTTCTCTAAAGTTTGAAGGGAATCCATCAGCACCGAATTGTTCTTATCACCCCCAAATGGTATCGGCATAATCAAACAGTGGCAGTATTAGAGACGTATAAAGAATATAACGTGTATCCAAGTCCTAGAAATCTTTGATGCGTCGTAGAACACCAAGTCTTTGATTAATTTTGGAGATCGTTTTGTCAATATGCTCGTGCCAGGATAAATCTTCACTAAAAGTAACTCCAAGATATTTCATTGATTTCTCCTGTGATACTTTTTCGTTCTGAATCGTGATGTTTACATTGATAAACGACTGCTTTCGGTTGGTAAAGATCATGAACTTGGTTTTCTCGTAGTTTAAAGTTAGGAGATTGTTATTTAGCCAGTGTGAAAGTGATTGTAAATCAGCGTTTATTTTAGCTTCAAGCTCCGTTGTTGACTTTGCAGAGTAATACAATTTTGTATCATCAGCATAAAGAATCGACTTACAGTTATTAAAACATTGAGGCAAGTCGTTAATGAATATCAAGAAAAGTAACGGGCCCAATATGCTTCCTTGCGGCACACCAACGGTGACTGGTCTTGCACTCGATGTTGAATTGTTGATAGATGTGACTACTGTACGTGATGACAAATAGGACGTGAACCAGTTAATGACAGACTTTGAAAAACCAAGATTTCTTAATTTCAAAATTAGCAGCTCGTGATCTACCGTGTCAAACGCCTTTCGCAAGTCGATAAAAACTGCACCGGTAACCAATTTATTGTCGAGATTGTGCAAGATTTCCTCAGTGAGTTGTGTCAAAGCAATGCTTGTGGATAACTTAGGGCGAAAACCAAACTGTTCTGAGGTGATTAGATCATGCTCTTGTAAGTACTCGTACACTTGTCTGTGATTAACTATGCGCTCCATTATTTTACTTACGATTGGTAAAATAGTTATAGGTCTGTAATTATTAGGAGATGTTGGGTCGTTGGATTTGAAGAAGTGAATAATCTTGCCTTTTTTCCAAATATCTGGGAATGTTTGTGAAACGAACGAGGCATTAATTATCTTTGTTAGACCAGATGCTATAATAGAGGAGGAATCTTTTAGTAACTTTGCGCTGATTTGATATAGACCGGTGGCTTTATTTGTTTTAAGAGATCCGAGCTCTCGAAGAATGAAGGACTCGTCTACTTCTTTGAACTCGAAACTGTACGGGGATAGCGGTGGTTTTTTAAGTTGAAATGTACTCTTAATCTTATCTGCTAGTTTTCTTCCAATAGATGTGAAATACTCGTTTAAAATTGTTGCTTTGGATTCTTGGTCAGTGATGGGTTTTTCTTCAGAGATTATACATGACGGGTTTGTACCAGATTTACTGCGAGATGTTAGTTCATTTAATGTTTTCCAAAGTTCAGAGGGATTATCCTTATTAGCGTTCACAGAATCTTGATAGTACTTAGATTTTGCTAGCTTAATTTGGTTGTTAATATAATTTCTGAGTTCTCGAAACTTTTGCCAATGATATTCGGAGTTCGTTTTATGTGCTTGTTTCTGGTGGTAATCCCGCTCTCGCATTAATTCTGTAAGTTCCGGTGTGATCCAAGGAGATTTGCTCGTGCATTTGTTCGTGTATACTCACACTATCTATAGTAGTTATCTCAGAGTCATTGATAACCTGCAAATTTAATACTTCATCCTTTTCTAAAGCTAAAGTAACACCATTTACATCATCTGCCATACCTTTCAACTCTTCTACAGCGTCTGCTTGGGAATTCTTTATTACCTGAAGAAGGAAAAGCAATGAATAGTAATTGTATCTCGGTTTCTAAGCCGCCAATGTACTAAACGAGAAATTGAGTCAATGGAAATATTTCTTGTAATTAAACAGGGGAATATTTCTTGCGACTAAACTGGATAATATTCACAACAAATCCCCACCGCAGCTCAATTAGTAGCACTGTTCAGAAAAAAACAACAAATATTTGTTTGTATTTTTCAATTTCAGTTTAAAACAATAGAAGGAATTTTATACACACTAACAATTTTAAGGTGCATGTTAATATCAATGTTGTGAAGTGGTCAAGTAGATTATTATTGTTGGCCATTAAACTGAATTGATATTTGCTCTTTTACTGTAGTGTAGTGTACTCAGGTGAATAAGATGCTTGTGATGTTACTCTGAGTGTATATCCACACCGGGCAGGCTTGAAAAATATGCCTGGCCACGGTGGGAATCGAACCTACGACCTTTGGAATACTAGCCCAATGCTCTGCCAACTGAGCTACGTCAGGTCGGTTCGAGCTTGTAATATTTCGGAACAGAGTCTAGTTCCTTCGATATCAATATAATCTAAGAATCATGATAAAACAGCAAATATCATGATTATTAGATTATACTCAGTCGATATCGAAGGAACTAGACTCGGTTTCGAAATACAGTCGAACCCCTCTATAAGCGGACACCTCTCTTAAGCGGACACATATCTCAGGTCCCATTCGTTTTCTTTAATAAAATACTATTATCATAACCCCTATTACCTTACTTGAGGTCCCAATGGGCAAACCAACCTCTCTTAAGCGGACAGATGACAGATTGTCTGATAAAATGTATTCAATATTCGACGGACAGTAAATAAAAATTGAGATCAATTTACATGGCACATTGACAGTGACACACCAACTTGGCGCGAAGACATCAGAGCCAAGATTATTGAGGAAGTGACGAGCGAGGACGGAGGACTGTGAGCCGCCAGCCGAGGAGCCGAAAGATATGTGTCCGATCACTCATGATGACAACGAACTGAACGAAGATGATGAATTTGACTGGTCTCTTAACGAACCAGTCATTATATCTTCCTCCGGAGCCCTTAAAGTTGTCGAGCGGCTGGCAGAATTCGCAAAAATTCGAAGTTTGGAAGAACTTTCCAACGTCATTTTTATGTAAATGACATTATAATGGGCTATCGTCTGCGTGAGCTTTGAAAGCAAACTTGTATCGATTCCTTTTTTATATGACTGTGAGAGACGTATACATTTTCTAATAAATTTTTATGCACAAAGAAATTCTCATTTTATGCTAATTATTTCCTAGATATTTTTTACTGTTTTGATACTCAAATTACACACCTATAATTACACATCTTTGCCTCCTGCTGTGTTTTTCTACATATCCCTTTTAAGCGGACACTTAGACGAGATCCTGAAGGTGTCCACTTAATAGGGGTTTGGCTGTATTACATGCTCGAACCGACCTGACCGCGTAGCTCAGTTGGCAGAGCATTGGGCTAGTATTCCAAAGATCGTAGGTTCGATTCCCACCGTGGCCAAGCATATTTTTCAAGCCTGCCCGGTGTGGATATACACTCAGAGTAACATCACAAGCATCTTAAACTGAATTGTTACTTTTTATGAAATTACACTAAATAAGTCCCAAATTTACATTACACTCCGGCAAAAATGGTAGCTTAAGATATCAAAACAGGAATACCACTATTTTAATTTCATAGTAAGTTTAATAGGGAAATAGTTTTATTAAATTAATGTTGCCAGATTATTTCACTCTGTCTCAGATGCCAGACAATTTTACTTCTCAAGGGGAGAGAGCTGAGGCACTATTGGGTAAAACTGTATTAATTACAGGCCAATTATTATACAGTTAATCAAACTACTCACAGTACAGTACCTCAGATCCTGACCTAGTTCAGAGGCTGTTATTGACACAGCTGGAATAAAGCTAGACTTTGTCTGAATGTTAAAAAGACATTGAAAAACTACTTTAAAAATAACACAAACAGTTAACCCATGACAAGTAAAATCATCTGGCGTTGATCATTAGAAGAAAAAAATAAGTATGTCGCACTGGGGCTCGATCAAAGGCTTAAACTAATTTACAAATCGTAATTAAATATGCTCATTCTGAATTGGCTAATTTGGCTTTAAACTCCAGTTGGGCGGTTCAAGTCTTCAAAAAAGGAGGTGGACACAAACCTCAGAATTCTGAAATATTGTCGGAACAGCATCTGGCATCAGCATCATTCTTTGCCCAACCTGTTGCATCACATCTGCACTGAAGTGCTCTGAACATAGACGGCTACCTTTCTTGGGAACAAACCCCACTGGTGCATTCTTCTTCGCAATTTCAAGCCATCTGGAATGCAACTCGGCATTTTTTTGGGCATCTGGGAAGCTGTAATGTAAATATACCAAATGTACAGAAATATGAAATAAATTCTAATCTATTATATTATTCCTATACATAAAATATTATATACATGGTCTAGGACTATTTTGGGCTCACTTTCAAGGTTGACCACTGTAAAAATTTGGAAGTACCGACTTTAATTCCCTTCAACTACATTCCCAATACAGACATTCCCAACTACTGGAGGTAAAATTTTGGGAGACTGTTCAGTGAATTGAAATCTAGTTAGTTCTTCTGGGAAAAAATAATAAAAATTAAGTCTTCTGAAATGGCGTTTCCTGCATTTTTGGACTATGTTGTTATATAAATGATCCTGCGCATGAATTTTTGGGAGACTCCCGGTAAAATCGGGAGAGTTGGAATGTCTGCATACACCTGCAATGTCACCACATTTATTTTAGAGATTTATTTTCTTATTTTAATTAGATATTTATTAATTTTTGCCCACAAAATATTTACAAGCAGTAAAAAATAATTACAGTAGTATAATGGGCTATTAGAACCTTTGGAAATCCCAGGGGCGTAGGAAGCTTCTAAAAGTTGGGAGGGGGGCATGCTTTGAGGAGCACCTTTCGAATAAAAAAGGGCATCTAAAAATTTTCCCCTATAAATGTTGTTGAGGGAGGAGGGGAGGTTATCTCAAAAAAATAAAAAATTTCTGGATATATCACATTTTTCCTAAATATGAAAAAAAAATTCTGGATACACAAAGAAATTTTCCGGATATATTATATTTTTCCCGGAAATGAAAGAAATTTTACGGAGATAACATAGATTCAAGTTTTCAAAAGTGTCCCGGGAAAAGGGCACTTGGCATAACTTGGGGGCCCCCCCCCCCCCCCCACTACACCACAGGGCAATCCTGTTGGACTTTTATAGTAAGGCCCCTAGTTTTAGTATTCTAGTGATTAAAGACTTATGAAAGAAGAAATTATCATAGATATCTTATATACACTAGATAGCGCATCTAATTATTCTGCAATTCAAAAATTGAAGCCGTGATTGCAGGCTCAGGATCTTCCCATGAAATGAGAAGATTCGTATGTATCCTATTTCTTAAACAGGGAACTTAAACATTAAGTTAATCCTATTATAAATACATTTTCAAACTATTCAAATGATGAAAGTTATTGTTATTTTTTAAGCGTTTATTAGCGAGTGGGAAGCTCCAACATGGCCGCCATCTATTCAAATGGGGGTAACCGCTGGGATATTCTTGGCTTCAATTTTACTAAAAGAGATGCGCTATCTAGTTTATATAAGATATCTATGGAAATTATATACAAGCAGAAACTATTTACAACAAATTGAAAGATGAAAAAATACTAAGAAATAGAATAGCACATTACTAATACTATCGTTAGTGTTCCTGTAAAGGCTAATGCTAAGGTTTTTATAATTTGTTTACATTAATGACATTAATCAGATAATTAAGTAAAGGGATTTTGCTTTTCTCTTAAAAGAAAAATATGTTTATACAACATGATACAACAGTAATATAACTGATAACAGTAATATAACTGATATTATTTACATAAAACATATGATTTTATATACATATTTAAAAAAAAATGGCAATAACATTTAACTGAAAAATATACAGTTTAGATTTACAGCAGCTGCGAAAATTTTCTGAATATAATGGCATTGATATTGTTGACATTCAGACATATTTATTACCAAAAATTCGCCACATTTTGTCAAAGAAAACTACAACTATTCTGTGCTATGTTTTTGACTTGCAAGGCCCTTTTCAAAGTATTAAAAAAAGTATAAAGAAAACTGTAAAATGAACCTTGGCCTTTCTGCGAGCCTTTCTGTTTGTATTTTTAAAATTAGTAAAAAACAACAAAAAGTGAAAATGAGTTTTACAAATTCTTACCGGTGAGAAGAAATATTCTTCTTTGATAAGGAATTATTACAACCATACGCGCAACAATGCGGCATTTTGAAGAATTTTGAAGAAAAAACCTTTGAAGATTTTTTAAATCTCGACTTGTTGAAAGTTAACAAGCAAGGCGGGAAAATTTATTGCAAACCAGGGGGGTGAAGGATTTTATTTCAAGCGTAGGATCGCGGTTGGTCAGTGATAATTGCCATGAGCCGGAGGAACCATATGGCGTCAGCAAACGTGAAAATCCGCCATGTTTTTTTTTCCGTACACTGGTTTGACTGAAGGATAGATAGGAGCACGTCCTCCAGTAATATTATAGCTTAGCCTGCGTGCAGGCCCAAGGGAACTGATAGTGGGCCTGCAACCATCGCCCGGTATTTTGTAAAACGCCCCTTTTCATAACACGCCCCATTCGCGCGTCAATTGTCAAAAAAGAACCAATGACAGCACCCAAATATTAACAAACAAACTCGCATTAAAATGTTGCGGGGTTTTCTCTGCTTATTCAGAACATAAACAATGTGTAAATGGCTGCGTTTTAACTCCAAAAAAGCAAGCAACGCAGTCAGTAATTGCCAAATTTGCAAGTGCTCATTTTCAACTAAAATCGGAACAGGCAAATTAGGACGAATTTCAACAGAAAACCAGTCTCAAACTTCAAATCATGAGGGAAGTCGTGCGACCACATTAGGATTTATATTATGTGTGCTTCGCTGTCGCCATTGGCATTGTTATAAATAAATTGTCTCACTTATCAGATCGTGTGTGCAATTCTTGTTGGCGGCGGAAAGTACGAAATTTATTTCATTTGGTAAAGAACTCTACAAAAGAAGAGAGCGTTCCGAGTCCAGATCGTTTCGTTTCAAACGGCAATTTAATACCGCCTTCTGCTTTGCTCTCTCAGCGAAGCCTTGTAAATCGCAAAGTGTTTCGAATAGGCTTACAGTCCTTACATGCAACTGCATCTCAACATCAACCAAAAGATAATTTTCTTGAGGAAGTGAGAACACATAACGTATCAACTGAAGTCTGTTTGAAATTAATGAAACTCAAGTAAAGGTTACTATAGTTTACCCCAGTCGTAATTTGCTATTCCAACACCTCACGACAAGCAATCCCCATTGGCATAACGGCAAAAACATGTCTTCCTTCAAGTAAACAATAAACAGTCTGTTCTTGTTCCATTTGTAATCGAAAAAAGTGATCAATTTTCAAATTTTAAGCTTATCGAGAGCCTTTGTCTATGCCTTTGTGATGAATCACTGTTCCCTTGGGCCTGCACGCTAGGTTAATTAATTACCGATCCCCTCAGCTAGCCAATGGGAATTTAGCCGGCGGTTCGGCCGGCGAAAATCGAAAACATGGGGTGATGGTTGCAGGCCCACTATCAGTTCCCTTGGGCCTGCACGCAGGCTAACCTCGCTTCGCTCGGTAAGTTCGGGAAACTTCCAGCCACCCTCGGTGCGTCCAATCCCGAACTCACCTCCCTGCAAGTACGTTTGTTATACACAGTGTTCTCATTTCCCATTGCGTGGAATTCCTTAGATTCTCGGTAAGAATTCCTCAGATTTAGTAACATTTCCTTAAACGAGGGGTAAGCATGTTTTTTGGTAATTCATGGCCTGAATGATTGAGAATTACAAAGTTAGGTTCCCAGAATTTTTGTCTCATTTGGGAATTGGGATTTTGAGCAGCATCGTGGTCAAGGAATATCTTCTTATGTTGGTCAAGGAATATCTTCTTTCGAAAAAATTTTGCAGTCCTGAATGCATAAGACTGCATTTCCTGCGTTTTTAAAAAGTATTTTTTGCATAAATAATAGCTAAATTGACTGAATTTTTAAATATTATTTCAATATTTTCAAATATTAGGTAAAAACTAAAAATTCCTTAGAAATTCCTTAAAACTTCTATTTCCTTAAAAGTGTCCTTAAAAACTGATAATTTCCTCAGTTTAAGGAAATTTCCTTAAAACTGAGAGCCCTGGTTATACAACAACTGAGCACGACCACAATGCAACGCGCCAGAAAAATTTACTAAAAACCACTGAGCTGTATAATAACTGGAGGATCTGCTCAAATATGTCAGTCAACGAAGGATATATTAATAAAGGCCGTTTTCCACTTGGCGGATTTCTTCACGCGGAGCGGAATTTCTCTTTGTCTCTTCTACTTAGTTCAACCCGAGCAATCACAAGACAAGACAATAATAAAGTTAATGAACCCTCGTGATATATTAAAGAAGAAAGCAGTTGAAACTAAATCTTCTCGCTTCCAGAGGGTGCTGAGTAGGTTTTCGGATCGTCGGATTTCACAGAAAAAATTGTTCGGATTTCGGATCTGGCGAATATTTTACACGGATTTGCGGATATTATTCATACAGCGGATTGCGGATTTATTTAATATTTTGTCTCGGATTGTGGATTTAGCTTGCAATTTAGTTTCGGATCCTGGATTGTGACTTCATAGTAGAGTTTTTAGCGGATTCAAATTTAGACAAGACCATTGACCAAATTTGGGCGGATCGGCGGATTTGTATACCCCTATTCACCTTCTTCTACGAGGCCTACAAAACAGCTGGAACGATGTCAATAGATTGATTAAAAATACGAAAGCTAGTTATTTTCAAGAGGTAATTAGTAATTCAATAAACAACTCTAAGGAAATGTGGAGAAATATAAACCAACTCATTGGTAAAACCTCTAAAACAACAAATGTAACTTCAGTCAAATCAAATGATCAAATATTTACGAATAATCATCATATTGCTGAAACTTTTAACGATTACTTTTCAAAAATTGGTACAGAATTTTCCAACAGGATTCCACCAAGTAATAAAGGATTTGAAGAATATCTTGAGCGGTCGGTTAGTCCTGTCTTTGAGTTCAAATCGGTTTCTAATGATGAAGTTGAAACTGTTTTGAGTAAGTTTAAAGTCTCCAAATCGAGTGGACAAGATAAAATACCAGCACTAAGAATTTTAAAAGACTCCAGTGATATATGCGTTTCGTATTTGACATATATATATATAACTGCTCTCTTCTTTCTGGCATTTTTCCGGATAATTGGAAACTGGCCAAAGTTTCACCCATTTATAAATCGGGGAATAGACAAGAGTGTTGTAATTATCGCCCAATATCTGTATTATCAGTCGTTGCGAAAATATTTGAGAAATTAGTCTGTGGTCAACTCAATTGCTACTTCAAGGAACACCAGATTCTTACAAAATTTCAGTCTGGTTTTAGAAAAGGCCATTCAACAAATCCTCTTTACTCTCTGCAACCAACTCGTTGGTTAGTAAACATGGATGCTGGGCTTATTAACGGAGTCCTTTTCCTCGATCTCAAAAAAGCGTTTGATAAGGTTGACCACCAGATCCTTATTAAGAAACTTGAATTATACGGAATCAAACATAGTGCGTTAACATGGTTTTCTTACTACTTACATGGAAGAACTCAAGTGTGTAGATTTAGTAATATTACATCATCCTCAAAACATATTTCGTGTGGTGTTCCACAAGGGTCTAACCTGGGTCCCCTCCTATTTTTAATTTACATAAATGATCGACTTGCCTAATTGAGATTGTTTAAAAAAATCAAAACCAGCTATGTATGCTGATGATACTAATTTATCTGTTACTGGAGAAAGTGCAAGTGATATCGAAGTGAGATTGAATACTGAACTTGAAAATGTTCATGAATGGCTAACAGCGAATAAATTAACAATTAATACTGAGAAAACCGAGTACATGATTATCGGTTCGTATAAGAGAATTTCAAATATTCAAAAAGAAGATGAAATTAAAATTAGGATTGGGGATAATGAAATAAAACGAGTCAAAACTACTAAAAGTCTGGGAATTGTAATTGATGAAGAGTAGAATAAACCATAAAGAGTAAAATAAACCAATTACTAATTTTTGAAAATAATATAATGGTCTCGAATATAATGGAGCAGTGGTATGGAATTTCAATACCAATTTAAATTAGGAATTCCACCTCATTAAAAAATATTAAAAAATAAACTGTAGATATAATTTGTTATTTTATGTATATATAACTGTAATTTTACATTTTCTTGTAAATATTGTAAATAATTCAAGAAGATAATCTCAATTTGGATGACAGGCCTCCGTGCTTAAATAAAGTTCATTCACTCAAGTCACAAATCGTTTCGTTCGAGTCCAAGTCAAATGACAAGTTGTTACTCCTGATTCACAAGTCACAAGTCATAAAAATTGCGACTCGAGTCCAAGTGACACGACTAAAGTCTATAACTCTGAATTGATTGATTGATAATAGTATTTATTCAGGAAAACCAACATCACAAGTTGTGTTTTTCAGAAGGTCCCTGAGAAAACTATACAAATACAAAAGGTTATACAATATGCATGCAGGTTATATGCGATGTATATATGTGAGCAAGTTTTTTTTTTAAATATAGAACTAAGATAATTATATATTACAAAGAAGAGCTATTTACAAAATGCGTTCGATTATACTATGGAGATTTAAGAAGTGCAGTATGAAAACTAGCTAGATGGTTAATTGATATAATGTTTTTGTTCAAATCATTATACTCCTTACAAGCTTGGTATAGAAGTTTCTGCTTTCCCCAATTGGTACTAGGTTTGCTGAGATGAATGTGCACGTGATCTCTTTGTCTCGTGTTATGCAGGTGGTTGGCTTTAGGTAGGTTGAAGTCATAGTCTATCAGGTTATTTTTCAATTTGAATATGGTCAGCATTCGATGTAAGTATCGCCGGTGGGTAAGTGGCTGCCAGTGTAGGTTTGAGAGAGCTTCAGTGGAGGAGGATAGGTAAGGAGCGTCAAGAATCGTCTTTGCAGCCTTGTTCTGAAGGATTTGTAGTTGATCCATGAGGGTGGTGTTGTTCTTATCACCCCATATAATATCAGCGTAGACGAATAATGGGAGGATGACAGAATTGTGGATTGTAAGTCGAGCTTTTAATGGGATGAAGACTTTAACTCTTCTAAGCAATCCAATACGTTGGTTGATTTTTATCGATACATTACTTATGTGATCGGACCAAGTGAGATTCTCTGAAAAGGTGATTCCTAGATATTTAAAAGTTTGTTCTCGGGCAAGTTGTTGGTCGTTAACGTATATGGAGATATTGGTAAATGTTTTTAGGCGACGGTTACCGCCAAAAAGGAGGAACTTGGATTTTGCACAGTTTAGTGTTAGCAGATTTTCATCAAGCCATTTACAGATTGAATGAAGATCTTCATTAACGCATAGCTCAATGTTTTTGACCGAATTGGAGGAATAATATAGAAGAGTGTCATCAGCGTAGAGTATTATTTTGCAGTGTTTCACAATGTTGGGCATGTCATTTATGTAAATAATGAAAAGTAAGGGACCCAATATGCTACCTTGCGGAACACCAACTGACACAGGTAATGAGCTGGATAACGTATTGTTAATTGACGTTTTCTGTTGACGATTGGTAAGGTATGACTCAAACCAATTTAACGAGTTATTATCCAGGCCAAATGATTTCAATTTGCACAACAGGATAGCATGATCAACCGTGTCGAATGCCTTGCTAAAATCCAGAAAGACAGAGGCTGTGATGAGACCGTTGTCAGCATTATCAAGAATAGTATCGGTGAAAAATGCCAATGCGGTACTCGTAGATAACTTTGGTCTAAAGCCAAATTGAGATTCGGAGAGGATTTTATTTTCAGATAAATAGCTGTAAATCTGCGTGTGAACGAAACGTTCCAAAATTTTGCTCAGGATTGGCAGAACAGTTATGGGTCTGTAGTTTGACATATTAGAGCGATCGCCAGACTTGGATATTGGTGTTACTTTCCCGTCTTTCCAGATCTTGGGGAAGATAGAAGATTTTAGTGATTGATTAAATATATCAGTTAGGGTTGGGGCGATAGTTACTGCAGCATCTTTCAGCAGTCTGGCGCTGACACCATCAAGGCCGGTAGATTTATTAGTTTTAAGAGTTGATAGTTGTTTGAAAACAGACGCAACATCAATCTCTTTGAATTCAAATGTGGAATTAAATTGTGGTAGTTGAATACAGGAGAATATGTTTGATGACAATCTTTGCTTGATTGTGTTTGCCAAAGTCCTTCCGATACTGGTGAGGAAAGTATTGAAAAGAGATGATATAGATTGCGAGTTCTTGGTTTCAACACCGTCCGATATGATAGATGATGGTGCTGAAGAATGTGTGTTGCGCGATGTTAATTCATTGAGAGTTTTCCAAAGGCCAGAGGGATTATTTCTGTTTTCTTTTAACACGAGTACTCAATAAAATAGTCAATAAAATAACACGAGTACTCAATAAAATAGTTTTGTCAATAACACAAGCGAAGTGCAATACGAAGAATGCCGTATAACTGCGCGAGAGGATGACGACTTTGTATGTTCATATCTTCGGTTCAGTGCACAATAGTTTTAGTCATTATCGACATTGTAGCGATTGTAGCCTTTGAAAGTCAAGCGAGATCGCATGTTATCAAATTGCACAATTGTCTGAACTCTTTCTCGACGACTTTGTATGTTCATATCTTCGGTTCAGTGCTAGGTTAGTTCAGTGCATGCTTCATTCGATTCAGTGAAAACAATATCAACTAATTCCTCACAATTGTTTAAGTCATTATCAACATTGTGGCGATTTACATGGGCTTTGAAAGTCAAGCGAGATCGTATATTATCAAACTATGCAATGTCTGAACGGAGATATAACTTCGGCCCCGTATATCTTCATTGTAATATTCTTGTTCGAATCATTATCAATAACTACTGTGTGGAGTGTTTATATTTTCGAGATTGTATCTTCAAATTTGTATCTTTTAGTTTTATCACGGTATATAAAAAAATTCCGATTTCTAGCCCGACTGGCCGACTGTGAGCTAACAACAACAATAAACTAGCAATCCCGTCAACAATGCGACGTTTGCACGTTGACGTTGTGCTTGTGTTATGACTCTGGAAATGCCAGAAATCGATTCCAAAGGTCAGCTAGAGTGCACATCTATGCTTTTATCTGCTCAGTGCCTTTTATTTCCCAGTGCTACTATTCTATTCAGTAGATGGCATGCATGTCCGCCACAGCGGACCTATGTTTCGTCTTTGTGGTCTGGAACGTCTCAAAATATAAGTCGCGGCAGAGAATCTGCCTCGTCCCCAGTCGCTTGCTATCAAATAATTAATTAGGAAAAGACGAAAATTATTTCGTCTTCCCATTTTCCTTTGCGCGCTCGTCCTTAGTTGCGGGCAGGGCGCTTATAAGCGCCCTGGTTGCGGGCGTGCGCGGTGCGCCTAAAGGCGTGCGTCTTTATCGGGCTTGCAGTGCACGCGCTGATCTATATATTACCGATATTTAAATTTGATCTATATAGAGGAGCCTGCGGAGGAGGCAGGCAGAGAATGGCTGTTTTGATCACAGGGGGCCCCACTATGAGTTATGATTGAAATAATATTGTATTTATTTTTAAAAACCTACTTGAATCCCCCTTGATAATCGATTATTTCTTCTCTCAAAGTTCTGTAAACATTTCGAACTGCTTGGAGTCATTATACTATCACTCTACATGACGTTTCACGAAGTGTAGATGATCGCTGACAAGTAAGGACCGTGGGCGCGAAAAGACGAAGGCGGCGAAAGAAGGGAGAATTAAACTAAAACTAGAAAATACATGCATGCAGAAACGGTAATTGCTAGATAGTATACTTCAAAATAAGGTTTCCGTTTTTATAACGTAGAAAAAACCATCCTAACGCAAAACAAAACCCTAACCCTAATACTAAACTTAACCCTAATCCTAACCCTAACCCTAACCCTAACCCCAACCTAAGGCCACATAAAATAACTTCCTTGATTCTCATCACTAGACTTTGAAAATGTCGAAGAGCCGGGAGGTTTATATTTTATATTTTATATTTATATAATCGATCATCAATAAATAAAAAACTGATAATTCCTAACATTTAATATTTCTGTGCTTTCCAAAGTGAAGTGTCACAAACCAAAATGAACATATTTCTCCACGAACAATGACTGAACCGTTCAACTGAATGCGAAGTTCCGTTAAAATGCAATGAAATTTCTTTCAAGGTTCTATTTGTTTGAAATTGGCAGTTTAAAATGGCACTAAAAACCCAATTTTAAATATAAAAAACTTAACTGTCTTGAAATATTTTGTCGGGCGGTTCATTTATATTGTATAACAAAATATAAAAAAATTTCACGCGGCTCTTAAAATACAGTCGGGCGGTGATGAGAATCATAACCTGAGTATCAGGCCCTTATGTTTTCATTCGCCAGGATTAATTGGCGGCGGCGAATGAAGGAGGGCCTGATACTCTTTTAGAGTGTATCTAAAAGTCGAGGGTCGAGAGTCGAGAGTAAACGTCGAGAGTCGAGAGTAAAAGTCGAGAGTCGAGAGTAAAAAGTCGAGGGTCGAGAGTAAAAAGTCGAGAGTCGAGAGTAAAAAGTCGAGAGTCGACAGCAAAAGTCGAGAGTCAACAAAAATGTCATCAGAAACAACAAAGTCAAAATATTTTTAACACAATATATAGCCGTTCTGTAACAACGGCTGAACTACAAACTTTCGCATACTGAATATAGCTACAACAGTCAATAATAAAAAAGTGAACAAAAAAGACTGGATACGAAACTAATATCACATGTGATGCTTTCGTCTTACTAAATTTTTTAACATGTCATTTCATCAAATTCATTTGCTGCCTTTCAATGTAGACACATACCGTATTTACTCGATTGAGCGCCGCCCCCGATTGAGCGCCGCCCCCGAATGAGCGCCGCATTTGAGATCAAATTTTTTTAAAGAGCGCCGCCCCCGAATGAGCGCCGCACTAAAAAGTGTAAAA